CATCTGGTGAAAATTTCATGTCATTAGCACCTCTAGTAATATATTTACTGAGAAAAATGGTGACGTGTTCAATACTTATTTTACCCGCTGTATTTACAGAGGAAAAAGTAAAAATCCAAAGGTTGTTTCTTTTTAAGACTCAAACTTTAATCATCTGATTCTTCTAATAACCGGTTTTGTCAGACAGAAACTGGTTCTCCCGGAGGCTGAGAGGTCCAACAGACGATCCTGAACCTTCATACAAAAAGCACCAACAGAGCGGAACCAACTCCTCAACTCAGACACTCTGAGGACGGAGACGTCCAAGTTTTACACAGAAGACAGATGGTTTGAGAGAAAATTGAAGCAATTCACAGAAAAAAAGTTTTAAACCACAGGAGGTTTCAGGTGTCAYGTTACACTCAGGTTTATGATCTCATTCCTACAAACAGCAGCTGAAGCCAAAACGCTGTCATCATGCAGCTGCTGAGGAGGATTTAAGTCCAGACATGTTCTGTAACACGTTCCACAAGAATCACTTCCTGAATGGAGCCAARAGAAGGAGATCAACACCAACCAGCTCCAGATATTTGTCAGGATMTGATCAGTCTGATTCTCATGGAAAAGTCAAAGCAGATCTGGAGAAGATCAGTGGAGCGATGTGGACTCAAACTGAACAGGTCCTGGTCTCAGCTTCATGCTGCCCAGCCTTCTACGATCACTGGAAACCATCAAAAACCAGCCTGAGAGGAAAACCTGAAGCTGAAAACATGAAGGTTGGACTTTTTGGACACGAGACGACTTTCAAAAAACCTGGAGTCCAGATTAAAATTTAGAGCTAAAAYTTGATGTAGTAGCTTAAAGTCATCCTCAACTCTGAGCAMAGATCAGTTCAAAACTTTGACATTAAATAAATAAACAGTTTCAGAAAGTAAACATTAAATAGTTGGTTTTTATTTTCAGGAATAAATGAGTGAAGAAAATCAAACAGGTTTGACCTTTCAGTCAAACGTCTGCAGAGAAAACTTTCTGACATGTTATTGCATCAAGTTACTGATTAAATAAAGCTGCTGGTTAATGTTTGTTAAAACTCACTCCTCAGACAAACCTTTAAACTAATTTAAACTAATTTATTAAAAACCTGCMGATAAACTGGGATCTTATTGGTTACTCATAAAAAAGGACATTTTAATAACCAAATTAATCCTTTAAATGTAAGTTTGTAAATAAAACTGTCAAAAAGTGGTTAAAGTTCGGAATTTTGTGCTAAAAAGTGTTTTATTCCTTTTGAATTGAATAAAATAATCAGTTTTTTTGTCAAACAGCAGCTGCAATTACGTTTTCTTACCGCTGAGCTCGTTCCACATCTGGATGACTTTTCAGCAGCTTCTTCTTCTCCTCATCAGACTTTCTGGCAACATCTTCCTCATTGCTGAAAGACTAGAAAAAAAAGTGCACAAAGTTAAAACTTGGATATTGTCTGCATACCAGAGATTCCAGTCAGCGGACCCGGATGGGAGGGGGTCTGCTTTATTCATTTGAACCCAGCATGAAGGAATGCTCCTGGAAGGTTCAAGCTATTTAAATAATGCACACAAACACAAACTGTAGTTGGGCCTCGACATGCAGAGACAGGACAGACTGGTTCACAGACCCAACAGTTCTTCTGACTGATCTCATCTTCCTGGTAAACTTTAGAAACAAACTTTAAAACAAAACAAACATGATGTTTGGACGAGTCCTGAGTCACTCACCCCTCGAGTGATCCGGAAGTATGAAGTGATCGGCCCCATCAGCATCATCTTCAGGGTGACGATGGCAGCGTAGGTGGCGAAGGCCATGAAGACCTCGTTTTCCATCAGCTGGGCCATTTTTACTGGTTCTATGGAGTTTGTAAAGTTACACAGTCAAAAATTACCACCAATATTTTTGTTTTATTTAGCTTTTTATAAGAAATAAAAACAGATTTATTT